ACAACCATGTCACTCATTTCACAACTGCTTCTCTTCACCATGGTGATAGATAGGGAAAAAAAACGTAAAATGTGAAGACAGTCGTAAGTTCGAGGACTGGTCAAAAGTGCGAGGACCAGTCAAAAATAACTTTTTTCAGCCCTCTGAGTAGTCCATATGCATTAAAGGATACAGCAAATAGAGAGGGATGAAGGAATGGAAATTAGAGTAGGAGTGAGGGTAATAAGAGAGGGAGGAAGAGGGGAGGAGAAGGAGAAAGAAAGAGAAAGTAGGGAGGAGAAAAAGAGGGTGGGGGGAAGAAAGAGAAAGTAAGAAGGAAAGAAAAGAGAGAGGTGGTAGGTTTGAGGAGAAAGATTGCTGTACAATAAAAAAGATGAAAGGGAAGAAAGCCAACCCAAGCAAATATAAAGATATTAAGATAAAGAATGAATTGTTAAACTTTAAAGAATAAAAGAGAACAAATATGAATAAATAGCAATAATTAGAAACACACATACAAACATACAATGTATTTTCTTTGAACAGAATATTTGGCTGGTTCACAAATTTAAACAGTGGTTAGTCATTTCAATTAAATTTACAATTTCTATATTTCCTTTTTGCCATATTTATTCCTCATCTATTTTTTAAAAAAACCAATATTACCCTTCATCCTCATCTCTAATCTTAATCAAATTCAATTTTTCCCTTCTATTCTATATTATACCCTTTCCCATTGTCATCTATTTTTATATCCATCCTCACATTGTTTAATTATGTAATTATGTAATACAGTTGTTTAATACAAATTCAACATTTTAATATAAATCAATTAGTTATAAAACTATCTTTTTTGTATATTAATCAATATGAACATGAATATTCCAATTATTTCCATGCAATCCAATTTCTTACAAATCAATTAATTATATTTACCAATAATAATAAACCAAATAATTTCTCCCATATATTCCTCCGAACCACAACTTAACCATTTCTGCTTTCAACACAATATACAATTAATAGTATCTCAATGATTACAATTCCCTAGTTAAATACAGCTTTTTTTCCTTTGTGTTTTAAAATCTTGAACTCTCCTCCTAAATTTCCCATGTTTGCAGTTTTTCACCTACCTTTTTTGGGGAGGAAAAATAAAAATAAAAATAAATCTCTCTCTGCCTCATTTTGTCACGCTGCACCAAAGACCCTGGTTTCGTTTCTGAAGCTTAGCTAGGGGAAAAAAAAACTGCTTTACACTGATTGCCTGTAGGGCGGCCTTTTGAAGCCCCGGGCAAGAGTTTAAACAGTTTTTTTTTTCTTCTAGCCATCAGCTGGGGCTCAAGAAAAATCGGGACTTTTTTGAAACGCCGCGGGACGCGGGACAAATTGCTCAAAAGCGGGACTGTCCCGCCAAAAGCGGGATGTCTGGTCACCTTAGGCCAGGGCCATCAGGGAGTGATATGCAGACTCCGGAGCCTCCAGAGGCTGATAGTAGAGAGGCAGAGGAACAGGAGGAGCCTGTTCCTAGTGGACGCATGAGAAGAGCTGCCAGAAGGCAAGAGCAGCTAAAGCAAAGAGGACGACTCAGGAGTAAGGCCAAGAGATGATTGGCCCCTCCCATAAGGCTTAAAAGGCCAGCAACGGCTCTTGGGCTCTTTGTCGGAAAACAACGTTGATAGTCTTGCTGCACTTATCTCTTGTCGGTGTCTTCTGCTTTTGAACTTTTGCCAAGAGAAGCCTTTGGCAGTTGGCCTAATTATACCCAGGTTGGTGATTAGACTGAAGAATTTGTGTTATGAACAGTTTGTTTTAATTTAGTTTGGACTACGCTGAGAATCAGTTAATTCTCATCTGTTCTAATAAAGATTGTTTGTTTTGGAACTGTTTGTGTCGATTATTACCTTCTTGGGCCTGGGTCACAACAAAAGGGGATCACTTGATCTCAGGACAATGCAACTGTCATACAGTGAACTCCCAGGATTCTCCAGCCAACATGTGTTAAGATATGTGGACTTCAACTCCCAGAATTCCCCAGTCAGCATCTACACCAAGAAATCCCTCTCGAAATTCTGTCTTTGTTTCTCTGCTTCCTGGAGAAGTTATTCCAGGGAGAAAAAAAATTGGGCTCGTCCGGGATTTGAACCCGGGACCTCTCGCACCCTAAGCGAGAATCATACCCCTAGACCAACGAGCCAGCTGTTTTCAGATGCCTTCCAGATGTTTGCTTCAGACAGTCTGCTAATTAGAGGCTCAAATTTCTTTCTTGGCTCATGGCAACCAGTAGAACCAGTGATGCGCCAAATTCATGCCCCTGTTGCCTGCACATTTTTTTTGAGAGAAAAACTCTTAACTCTTTATTGGGATTTGGACTGTCAACCAAGCACGTCATCCAGGAAAGGTTGAGCATGCATGAGAGATTGCATAAACATTTAAATTTTTCTATGTCAATAAATGAATTTAGATTTATTTCACTGCATAAACGTTCCAATGCAAAAGTTAAAATTTTGCTGGAGATACTTGGGAAGGAATACACTACCGCATCCACAATTTATTAAATGTATCTGCCACTCAAGTGCAGTGACTCTGGGAGTAGGGGATTATGGCAGTGGTGGGTTTCAAATTTTTTTACTACCGGTTCTGTGGGTGTGCCTTGGTGGACGTGGCTTGGTGGGTGTGGCAGGGGAAGGATACTGTAAAATCTCCATTCCCACCCCACTCCAGGAGAAGGTTACTGCAAAATCCCCATTTCCTCCCGATCAGCTGGGACTTGGGAGGCAGAGAATAGATGGAGGTGGGGCCAGTCAGTTCTCTGAACTATTCAAAATTTCCGCTACCGGTTCTCCAGAACTGGTCAGAATCTGCTGAAACCCACCTCTGGATTATGGGAGAGGGAGTCCTCCTAACATGCATTCAGATGATGGCCCTGCAGCCCCAAACATTTTTTCATGAGGGGTTTGGGGTTTTTTTGGGGAAAAAAACTCAATCCAATTTATGGACAAGGAAAAAAATATATAGTTCTAATTTAGCAGACGCAATTGAGACTGGCAACTTGATCATTAAATGAAACCGTCGCTAAGTGAAACCCAAGGAGTTCCGTGGCAATTTGGTGGTGGCCCCAAAGGGAGCAAGAGGGATTTATAAATCAGTCCTCTTAGCTCCCTGCGTACTTCAAATTCAACAGCCCAAACAATGCTTCCTTCGCCTACTTACTTGCACAGCAGAAAAGATTTATAAGTACTCCTGTTTTAATGGTGATAGAGAATATGGGTGAAGGGTTTTTGGAAAGTATCAAGAGGAAACAGCTAGCTTAACCACAGATGTAAATAATTAGAATAACAGGAAAGCCCCTAAAACTCCAATGATAACCATAACCATAGCATAACCACCCAGAGGAGGCTTCAGAGTAAGGATTTAAGATGCAAAATAGATATTGTTCGTCATTTGATGACCACATAATCCCTTGCAAGGTGGAGTCGGAGGAACTGAATGGAACTGAGCATTTACTAGCGGATGCCTTTCCTGTCACCAACGTGGAGTTTTGTTCAGCAAATATATTCTCATTGTGCCCAGAGAGAGAAACATCAGCCTCTACCTAGGATTGAACTCATAGCCTCCTTATTGTGAGGTGAGAGCTCCACCTCTAGGCCACACCACTCCAGTTCCAAGTCAGGAGAATAAATTTGCCCACAGCTGCAAGAGGAAATTGTTAGTTATAGGTGGTTTTTCTGAGAAGTAAGGATAGTACAATAGTAAGCAAAGCGCATGTTTAATAGAAGACTACATATTAATTATATTATATGCTAATTATAATTCACATGTGATGTACGGTTTAGTATGTTTGGGGAGGACCTCAGGAAACATTTAAGAGGTGGGGGGGGCAAGAGTGTATCTTCATAGTACCTAAGCCAGGTTCTTCAAACTTGTTAGCTTTAAGACTTGTGGACTTCAACTCCCAGAATTCTCCAGCCAGCTGGCTGGAGAATTCTGGGAGTTGAAGTCCACAAGTCTTAAAGCTAACAAGTTTGAAGAGCCCTGACCTAAGCCAATGGGGAATGTGACGACTTGTTAATGCCCAGCGGGACAGGAGTGTAAAGATAGTCCTTGACTTACAACAGTCCACTTAGTGACTGTTCAAAGTTACATAAATCATATGGTCATAAATCAGATTGAAAAAGCTGATTTATGACCATTTTTCACACTTACAACCATCGCAGCCTCTCCATGATCGGATTTCAGCTGCTTGGCCATTGGCTCGTATTTATGACGGTTGCATGTTCCCAGGGTCCCATGATCCCCTCTTGCGACCTTCTGGACAATGGAGAAAAGCCGGATTCACTTTACAACCATGTTACTAACTTAACAACTGCAGTGATTCACTTAACAACTGCGACGAGAAAGGCAGTAATAACGGGGGCAAAATTCACTTAACGACCCTCTCCCTTAGCAAACAGCAATTTCGGGCTCCGCTGTGGTCGTAAGCCGAGGACTCGCTGCAAAGGCTTCAGCATCTGGAGGGCGCCAGCTTGACGAAAGCTGGGCTTCAATTCATTATTATTATTTTTTCTCCTCCCTTCCCAAAGCAATACAATTATTTTTCTCTAAAATCAGGATAGCAAATGATTCGGCCTGGATGACAATCCTTTCCAGCTCTAGCCTCCAAAATCTCATTAGGGATTAATTAGGTTTTTTTAATTAAACCTGGTTACTTGGACTTAACTCTGATTATCTCGATCTAATTTGCAAGCAAACCACCAGCCCCTCTTGCCCGCGCACCTCAACTTGCTTCCCCCGCCCGTTGGCCACGCGCAACCTAGCCTGCTGGCGACTCCGCCCCGCCCTCTGAGCCTGGTGCGCCTCCGAGAGGTGTTTCTCTGTCGACCTATCGCAGAGCTCGCTCCCTATGGCTCCTCCTTCAAGCGTTAAGAGTTGCCAGGTGCGGACCAATGAAGCGTCGCGCGTAGGTGATGACGTAATGAAGGAAACACTATAAAAGTGCGGGAACCAGCCATAAGTATGGAGTGCGTTAGAGTAGTCACTTCCGGTTCTGTACTTCGCCTTGCCATAATGCAGGTTACCCCAATAAAGATGTTCCCCAACTAATTTCCAGATATTTTTTGGCTAATGTACTTTTATAAAGAAAGGCGTCTGTCTGAACGGGAAAGCTCTGGTGTTCTCTTCCCTTTTTGGATAAAAGAGGACGCACAAAGCTGAGTTCAATCTTGTATGTGTGTATTTATATTTCATATCGATATATAGTTTATAAAAATATATTTTTAAATTTATTATTTCATTTTTCCAGTATTTTAAAACTTTTATAAAATATATTTAATATTTATATGTTTATATGTACTATATATAAAATATATTTACATATTCATATATTGATAGGGAGAAAATGTAAATACTAGAAGATCACGAAGTAGTTAATAAGAGAATATATAGATGAATGTTGTATGTCTTGTAATGTCATTTTATGTTAAAAAATTAAAATTTAAAAAATTTAAAAATGCAAAAAAATAGATATATTTCATGTATATGTGTAAATTATATATGGTAAAAATATATACTTCATATTTATATTCATATACTTTATGTATAAAATAGATTATAAAAAGATATATTTCATATAATGTAAATTACATACTGTACAAAATATATTCTTCATATTTACACATTCATATAGTTTATGTTTAAAATAGATTATAAAAAGATATTTCATATATATATATGTAAATTATATACTGTACAAAATATATCCTTCATATTTACACATTCATATAGTTTATGTTTAAAATAGATTATAAAAAGATATATTTGATACATATATAACTATATAGTGTACACAATATATATTTCATATTTACATCTATATTTCATATATAATATATTATAAAAAGATATATTTTGTATATAAATTAAATTATATATTGAGGAAAAATATTTTTCATTATATATGCCAGTATATGTAAAATACATTTTACGAAAATATATTTCATATCTCTAAACTGCCCATCTTTAGGTCCTTCCCTCTGGATCTCTGGACCGGCGATGGAGGAAGGAAAAATCGCCAATCTCTTTCCACGGCTAATACGGGAAGGGAGGTTTACCCTTCTCCAAGAAGAGATTGAGAAAATTCCCGACCTGGACAGAGATGTGAGACAGAAGCACTGGGAGAAGTCCGGAGACACGCTTCTCCACTTTGCGGCCAGGCACGGCCAGCTGGATATCTTGCGTTACCTCACCGAGATCGTGGGAATGAACGTTGAGCTGGTGAACCGAGACTACAAGCGTCCCCTCCACGAAGCTGCCTCCATGGGCCACCGGGATTGCCTCTTATACCTTCTGGAACAGGGAGCCGCAATAGATTGCTTAAAAAAAGCAGATTGGTATGGTGGGTTGGCTCTGAAGGGTTTTTCTCAGATTGAATGGGAGACCATGAGGAGATCACAAGAGCCCAGACTCTGCTGGCCTTTTGCTTTCCAGGTTTCATGCTTGTGGTTCTATTTTTTCTGTTTTTATACTTAGCTTTATATTATCAGGGTGAAGGTTTCTTCTCCAAGTTTTCTGAACGTTTCGTTACCAGGCTAGGCCACAACTTCAATGGAGTTTAGGGGATGTGTCAGTGTTCTTCTGTTTATAAGGGCTTCAGGTGTGGGGGTTTATATTATATTATAATTCACTTTAGCTGCCCTAGAGTCATGAATTTGAGATAGGCGGCCATGTACAGGGAAATAATAAATGAAAGAAAATCTTGGGTTTGTAGATGAAGATGATGTAGGTATTAGTCCACAGGTAGTCCTTGATTTATGACTACAATTGGGACCAGAATTTCTGTTGCCGGTGCTTGTTAAGTAAGACACACTGGATTTTACTCCCCTTTTTTGGCACAGTTGTTAAGCAAATCAGTGCAATTGTTAAGGGAATCGCACGGTCACTTAAGCAAATCTGGCATGAACTTGTCAAAGGCTTATGGCACCATTTAAAGAGGAATCAAAGAGGAAGACCAACCTTCTCAGTTGAGGTTCCTCAACCTCTCAAAGAGATTTCTGGCTGGTCCCAGGGAGGCCGGAGATCATACAGAATAACAGCGTTGGAAGGGACCTTGAAGGTCTTCTAGTCCAACCCCCTGCTTAAGCAGGAGACCCTATACCATTTTATGGCATAGGTTGTTCAGTCCCTTCTTGAAAGCCTCCAGTGATGAAGCTCCCTCAACTTCTGAAGGCAACTTCTGTTCCACTGGTTGATTGTTCTTATGTCAGGAAAGTTTCTCCCTAGTTCTAGGTAGCTTCTCTCTTTGTTCAGTTTCCATCCATTGCTTCTTGTCTTGCCTTCTAGGGCTTTGGAAAATATGTTGCCCCCCCCCCCCTCTTTTTTGTGGCAGCCCCTGAGATATTGGAAGAGCGCCATCATATCACTCCTCGCTCTTTTCACTAGACTAGACAGATCCAATTCCTGCAACCGTTCTTCATATGTTTTAGCCTCCAGTCCCCTAATCCTCTTTGTTGCTCTTCTCTGCACTCTTTCTAGAGTCTAAACATCTTTTTTTACATTGTGGCGACCAAAACTGGATGTCGGATTCCAAGTGTGGCCTTACCAAGGCCTTATAAAGTGGTATCAACACTTCACGTGATCTTGATTCTATCCCTCTGTTAATGCAGCCAAAGACTGCATTGGCCTTTTTGGCAGCTGCCACACATTGCTGGCTCATATTTAAGTGATTGTCCACTAGGCCTCCAAGATCCCTCTCACAATTACTACAACAGAGCAAAATTTTCACCTAGTTGGTACCTGCACAATCGGTTTTTCTTGTGTAAAACCTTACTTTTTTTCTACATTGAATTTCATTTTGTTAGATAGTTCAAGTCTATGGAGACCCATCTAGGACAGTGTTTCTCAACCTTGGTAGCTTGAAGATGGCTGGGGGATTCTGGGAGTTGAAGTCCACCCATCTTCAAGCTTCCAAGGTTGAGAAACACTGATCTTGGAGCTGTTTTTCTGACACGTCTGGATTAATCTCCTATGAAGAGGCTTGAGAATTATTCCCCATTTTCTAGGACTCCTCTTATGATGGCTTGTACGAGGAGGAACCTGGAGATCATCCGAGATCTTGTCCAGCACGGAGCCAACCCACGGCTGAAGAACAAGGACGGCTGGAATTGCTTCCACATCGCAAGCCGGGAAGGAGATCCAGGGGTCGTCCAATACTTACTAGATGCTTCTCCGGATATTTGGGACACGGAAAGCCGGATCCGAAGGACCCCTCTCCACACAGCAGGTTGCATCGCGTGCACCGCCTCTTAAGAGGGTTTGAGTTGCTTCATCAGCAGTCGGTGAATAAGTCGGTCTGCGAAATGGGCGCAATTCCTTAGACAGGATTTTGCTTTGAACTTTCTTAGTGGCTATCCTGACCCAGTGGTGAAATTTAAAATTTCTTACTACTGGTTCTGTGGGCGTGGCTTGGTGGTGGTGGATAGTGTGAGTGAGTGGGCGTGGCCAATTTTTTTTTTTTTTTTTACTTTTAAAGCCATTTTTTCTACAACCTCTTCAGCGAAGAGGTTGTAAAAAAATGCTTTCAAAAGGCTCTGATGATCCAAGCTGAGTTGCCTGAGGCTTTTTAAAAAAGCCTCTGCCGATCAGGCAACCTTTCTGGCCACAGTTGTTAAGTGAATCACTGCTGTGCCTTGGGAAGAACAAGTTGATAAGCGATTCTGGCTTCCCCGTTAACTTTGCTTGTCCGAAGATCGCAAAAGGGGATCGCATAACCCCGGGACACTGCGACCTGTCATAAATATGAAACGGCTGCCAAGCATTTGAATTTTGATCCACGTGACCATGGGGATGCCGCAATGGTCGTTAAGTGTGAAAACCAGTCGTAAGTCACTTTTTGCAGTGCGGTTATAACTTCAAACAATCACTAAATAAATGCATTCTTTATATAATCCCTGCATTACTACTGCAACGCTCTCTACATGGGGCTCCCCCTGGGGTGCACCCGGAGGCTCCAGCTGGTCCAGAACGCGGCCGCGCGGGGGATTTTGGGGGCGACGAGACGCTCCCACGTGACACCTCTCCTGCGCGAGCTGCACTGGCTCCCGGTGGTCTTCCGGGTGCGCTTCAAGGTGTTGGTGACCACCTTTAAAGCGCTCCATGGCTTAGGGCCGGGGTACTTACGAGACCGCCTTCTGCCACCAATAGCCTCCCACCGGCCAGTACGCTCCCACAGAGTGGGCCTCCTCAGGGTGCCGTCCGCCAGACAATGTCGGCTGGCGACCCCCAGGGGGAGAGCCTTCTCTGTGGCGGCGCCCGCCCTCTGGAACAACCTCCCCCCAGAGCTACGTACAATAACAGACCTCCGGATTTTTCGTCGGGCCCTGAAAACCCATTTATTTCAACTAGCTGGGCTAGCTTGAGTCAAATTTTAAATGGATTTTAAATTGGAATGTTTTAATTACGGCCAAAATTATTTAATTATTTTAAACAGTTTTTAGATTTTGTATGTTTTGTATGTATGTCTTGTTTTTACTTTGGCTGTTCACCGCCCTGAGTCCTACATTGGAGAAGGGCGGTATAGAAATTTAAACAAATAAATAAATAAATAAATTATTTTATTTTAAGCCACCCAGAACCTTGTAAAAAATGAGACGGACAGCCGTAGAAATTGAGTAAATAGATCTTAACAAAGGAAGCTTTTATTTAGTTATCAATGAATAAATAACTCGGGAGAAAAATCTTTCTTTTGCAATTTAGTGCTTCCTGGGGATTTGGGAGGGTGGGAGGCTGGGGATGATGGAGGCTGGAGTGTAAGATATCTGGAAAGGACCAGCACGAAGGAAGCTGCTGCCCGTTTTCAAAACTAGCCATGTTTTCTTTTCTGTTCTGGTTTGCAGCGATGCACGGATGCCTGGAGGTCGTGAAAATTCTCCTTGAAAGGTGAGCAGAGTTTTTTTTGCTCCTCCTGCTTTACAGATAGTCCTCAACTTAACAACCACAATTGAGCCGCAAATTTTTGCTACTCACAAGACGGTCCTTAAGTGAGTTTGGCCCCATTTTTACGAGCTCGCTTGCCACAGTGATGAAGTCAATTTTGTTAAATTAGTTCATTAGTTAAATTAGCAGTTGTTAAATTAGTAACACGGTTGTTAAAAGGGGATCACATGACCCCTGGGACACTATGACCGTCATAACTATGGGTCAGTTGCCAAACGTCCGAATTTTGATCATGTGACTATAAGGATGCTGCAACGGTCGTAAGTGCGAAAAACAATCCTACGTCGCTTTTTACAGTGCTGTTGTAACTTCAAACGGTCACTAAATGAACTGTTGTAAGTCGAGGACTATCTGGATATACCATCAAATCGTTGTGGAGTCTTAATGGCCACAATAATTTGATAGCACAGTGGTCTACGCACCCTGTTATTAACACAGCTGCCTGCAATTTACTGCTGGTTCGAATCTCTCCAAGGCTCAAGGTTGACTCAGCCTTCCATCCTTTCTAAGGTAGGTGAAATGAGGACCCAGTTTGTGGGGGCAATAAGCTGACTTTGTATAAAAAAAGAACAGGCTTAGGGTTGGGCAAAAGCCCTACTAAGGAGGTATATACAAAAGTATGAAGGCTATTGCATTGTAAGCCGCCCTGAGTCTCCGGAGAAGGGCGGCATATAAATCAAATTAAAAAAAAAAAAAACAATGATAGACTTTCTCCAGGAGAATCTGGCCTGAATTTGGTCCTTCAAGTCGTCTACAGCTGTCTTCGTTGCCATTCAGTGGATAGAAAAGTAAAGTCTTACACTTAGGCAAGAAAAACCAAAAGGAAACATATAAACTGGGGGAAACCGGGCTTAATAGCAGTGACTGTGAGAGGGATCTTGGAGTCTTAGTGGACATCCAGTTAAATATGAGCCAGCCATGTGCGGCAGCAGCCAAAAAAGCCAATGCAATCCTAAACTTCATTAACAGAGGGATACAATCAAGATCAAGGGAGGTGCTAATACCACTCTATAAAGCCTAGAGTCCTGCATCCAGTTTTGATCCCCATACTATAAAAAAGATGTTGAGACTCTAAAAAGAGTGCAGAGAAGAGCAACCAGGATGATGAGGGGACTGGAGGCTAAAACATACGATGAGCGGTTGCAGGAACTGGGCCTGGCTAGTCTAGTGAAGAGAAGGACCAGGGGACACAGGATAGCATCTTCCAATATTTGAGGGGCTGCCACCGAGAGGAAGGGGGGGTCAAGCTATTTTCCAAGACACCCGAAGGCCAGACAAAGAATAATGGATGGAAACTAATCAAGGAGAGATTCAACCTGGAAACAAGGAGAAAATTTCTGACAGTGAGAAAACCGATGGAACAGAAGTTGCCTTCAGAAGTTGTGGGAGCTTCATCACTGGAGGCTTTCAAGAAGAGACAGGACTGCCATGTGTCAAAAATGGTGTAAGGTATCCTGCTTGGCAGAGGGGGTTGGACTAGATGACCTACAAGGTCCCTTCCAACTCTGTTAATCTGTTAAATCTTCTCTTTCCTTCCCATTGATGAATTGATTATTACAGTTCCAATTCAGTTTTGTATGGTACAACTTAAGGCACAATGCGTGACCCTCCTGCTTGCTATTTGCCCCAGCACAACAATCCTGTAGGGTGGGATGGGCTGAGCCATTGGTACAAAATCCCCCGTCCAACTTCTGTGACTGCAAGAGGACTACAACTCACCGTCGCCTGGTCTCTGGTTCAGCACCTTCACTGCTTTTTCCTCTACTTTTTTTTCCACCCAAAGTTTTTTTTTAAAATTTTTCAAACAAAAAACAACATAAAAGCATCATCCTTTCAAACAATTACAGACTGTGTTTCAGTTGGTTAAAATCTTTTCGCGCTCACAAACTGTTCAAGATAATCAATATATGACACATGGTTCTTTTCCACTAAGAAAAAAAAAACAAATTTTTACACATTTTATCTTAGTTTCATTTCATATATCATATTTCATCTCCACGTTTTATTATCTATCCATTGATAAATTAAATCCCATATCAAATAATATTGCTTATCTTCCTGTTCTCTCATTTCAAATGTCAATTTACTCATTTCAGCACAATCCAACATTTTCTTAGTAATTTCTTCATCAATAGGTATCTTCTCTCCTTTCCAATTTTTGGCAGATACAATTCTAGCTGCTGTTAAAACATTCACAATTAAATATTGCAATTCTTTTATTAAATGTCTCTGGTAAGATCCCTAATAAAAATGTCTCTGGTTTAAAGCACTGCTTTTTCCTCTTGACCCTGCTTTGGGCTGGGTTTCAATTGTGAATTTCACCGTCTTTTCTGCATTTATTCCAAGGTGCCACTACATGCCGGACAGCCGGGACCACTGTGGGGTGACCCCGTTCATGGACGCTATACAAAATGGCCACTTGGACATTGCCAGAGTGCTTCTAGAGGAACATCAGGTGCGTTTTGTCTTCTATTTGGTCCGACAGGTGTATCCAGAAGTTTTATCCCTGGTAATTTAGGAGTACAGGTAGTTCTCAGTTTACAAAAGTGCTTTTTGTGGTCATTCAACATTACGACGGCCTTGAAAAAAGTGACTTATGTCTCTTTTTCCACACTTAAGGACCGTTGCAGCTTCCCTTGGCAACTGACTCATATTTACGACGGTTGCAGTGTCCTGGAGTCAGGCGATTCCCCTTTTGTGACCTTCTGACGGACAAAGTCCATGGCTTTTTCACAAGGCAACTGGACTTTTCTTTTTCCTTGAAGATGTTTCACTTCTCATCCAAGAAGCTTCTTCAGTTCTGATCGAATGGTGGAGGATGGAAGGGTTTCTATTCCTTGCAGTCGTCTGGTCGTTAGCGCTCTCTCCGAGAGTCATTGAGGCCACTTGGAAGTTGGAGGGCACAGATAAACCTCCAAGCGACCTCCACGACTCTCAGAAAGAGTACTAACGACCAGATGACTGCAAGGAATATCAATCCTTCCATCCTCCATCCTTCATTCAGAACTGAAGAAGCTTCTTGCGGTGAGAAGCGAAACCTCTTCAAGGAAAAGTCCAGTTGCCTTGTGAAAAAGCACTTTTGGGACAACCATAGAGTTAAATATGAACAACTTGCAAGCATCTGAATTTCGATCATGTCACCACGGGGATGCTGCATTGGTCGTAAGTGTGAAAAACGATTGTTAAGTCCCTTTTTTCAGTTCCGTTGTAACTTTGAACGGTCACTAAATGAATTGTTGTAAGTCGAGGACGACCTGTATTCCGTTCCAAGATTTCTGAGACATCCTTTCTGTCCTCCCCAGCCTTCATTTGAGGTTACAACCCCAAATATTCGGGTTCTGCTTTCTGTTCCCCTTCCTGCAGGCTGATTACAAGGTCAGAGATGCTCTTGGCAATCAGCCGCTGCACCGAGCTGCGATCACGGGACAGGACGATGGGCTTCGGTTCCTTGTGTCCGATCTTGGGGTTGAGGTCGACGAAGGGGCCACGAACCTCGGCATCACTGCCCTGCATTATGCCGCAAAGGTTTTGTTTATTTATTCATTCATTCATTCATTCATTCATTCATTCATTCATTCATTCATTTATTGGTTCGATTTATATGCTGCCCTTTTTCCGGAGACTCAGGGCGGCTTACAATTGCTGGTTAAGCAATAGCCTTCATACTTTTGTATATACCTGCTTAGTAGGGCTTTCGGCCCCCCCTAAGCGGGGGTTCCTTTTTTATACAAAGTCAGCTTAATTGCCCCCACAGTCCGGACCTCATTTGAACCACCTTGTGAGGTGGAAGGCTGAGTCAAACCTTGAGCCTGGGGAGATTTGAACTCACAGTAATTGCAGGCAACTGGTGTTACTTAAACAGTGCTTTTGTCTGCTGCGCCACCAAGGCTCTTTTACCTGCCCCTTTCCATTGGGATTGGGGTGGCTTCCTTTAATTTTGTGGTTTGTATCCCACCTTTATTATTTTTACAAATAAACTCAAGGAGGCGGACATACCTAACACATCTACCTCCTCTTTTTAACATAACAACAACCTTGTGAGGGTGGGTTGGGCTGAGAGAGACTGATGGCTCCAAAGTTATCCAGCTGTTTCCATGCCTAAGGCAGGACTAGAACTCCCTGTCTCCTGGTGATTGCTCCAATGTCACCTAGTCAGCTTTCGTGCCTAAGGCGGGACTAGAACTCCCTGTCTCCTGGTGATTGCTCCAATGTCACCTAGCCAGCTTTCATGCCTAAGGCAGGACTAGAACTCACCGTCTCCTAGTGATTGGCCCAAAGTCACCCACCGTTTTTTGTGCCTAAGGCTGGACTAGAACTCACCCTCTCCTGGTGATTGGCTCAAAGTCCACCAACCGATTTCATGCCTAAGGCGATACTAGAATTCACCTTCCCCTGGTGATTGGCTCAAACTTGCCCAGTTGGCTTTCATGCTTCAGACGAAACTAGAACTCACCGTCTCCTGGTGATTGGCCCAAAGTCACCCACCTGGCTTTCATGCCTAAAATGTGACTAGAATTCACTGTCTCCTTTTCTTCTCGCCTGTTGCCTTCATCACTAGACCAAAGCAACTCTTAATTATTGGTGCCTTAAGCCAAATAACATACAGATTCAACATAATTTCATATGAAATATTTCGTCCGACTACAGATTTGCTAAATATTGGACTCCTTTTGACTTTTAAAACACTTCTTACTAATGAGGAAGGAAGAGGGGGAACATCTGAATACATCACCATCTGGTCTGTGACCTTCTCTTGGCTTTTTTCTTCCTCCTCATCACGCCCCATCCTCCCCAGCCGTTGCTTTCCTGCTGCAATTACTCCTGGCCACTTCTGCTTTTTGGCTGAACAAATAGCAATAGCACGTAGATGTATATATCCACAGTGCTTTTACAGCCCTCTCTAAGCGGTTTACAGAGTCAGCCTCTTGACCCCAACCGTCTGGGTCCTCGTTTGACCCACCTCGGAAGGATGGACGGCTGAGTCAACCTTGAGTCAGTGAGATTCGAACTGCCAAATTGCAGGCAGCCGGCAGTCAGCAGAAGCAGCCTGCAGTACCACATTTTAACCACTGTGCCACCACGGCCCTTCCCTTCCTTCCTTCCTTCCTTCCTTCCTTCCTTCCTTCCTTTCCTTCCTTCCCAAGCAATAGCGCTTAGACTTATATACCGCTTCACAGTGCTTTCCAGTCCTCTCTAAGCGGTTTACAGAGTCAGCCTCTTGCCCCCAACCATCTGGGTCCTCATTTGACCCACCTCGGAAGGATGGAAGGCTGAGCCTGGTGAGATTCGAACTGCCGAATTGCAGGTAGCTGGCAGTCAGCAGAAGCAGCCTGTAGTACCACATTCTAACCACTGCGCCACCACGGCCCTTCCTTCCTTCCTTCCTTTCCTTCCTTCCTTCCTTCCTTCCTTCCTTCCTTCCTTCCTTCCTTCTTACCTTCCTTCCATCTACCCACCCATCTATCCATCCTTTCCTCCTCCTTCTATCCATCCATCCATCCATCATCCATCCATCCATCTTTTCCTTCCTTCCTTTCTGCCCTCCCTCCCTCCCTCCCTTCCTTCCATCTATCTATCCATCTACCCACCCATCTATCCATCCTTTCCTCCTCCATCCATCTTTTCCTTCCCTCTCTCCCTCTCTCCCTCCCTGTCTCCTTTCTTCCTTCCTTCCTTTCTTTCCTTCCTTCGTTCCATCCATCCATCCATCTACCCACCCATCTATCCATCCTTTCCTCCTCCATCTTTTCCTTCCCTCCCTCCCTCCCTCCCTTTCTCCTTCCTTCCTTCCTTCCTTCCTTCCTTCCTTCCTTCCTTCCTTCCTTCCCAAGCAATAGCACTTAGACTTATACACCGCTTCACAGTGCTTTCCAGTCCTCTCTAAGCGGTTTACAGAGTCAGCCTCTTGCCCCCAACCATCTGGGTCCTCATTTGACCCATCTCGGAAGGATGGAAGGCTGAGTCAACCTTGAGCCGGTCAGGATCGAACTGCCAAACTGTTGGCCATCAGCAGAAGTAGCTTGCAGTACTGCATTCTAACCACTGCGCCAACATGTCAGTCTTGATGGCACCGGTCCCTTCATTTGTGTGATCCTGGCAAAGGATTGTGGGAGTTGAAGTCCAGCCCCACTCTGGAAAGAGTGCAGAGAAGAGCAACCAAGAGGATTAGGGGACTGGAGGCTAAAACATATGAAGAACGGTTGCAGGAACTGGGAATATCTAGTTTAATGAAAAGAAGGACTAGGGGAGGCATGATAGCAGCCTTCCAATATCTCAGGGGCTGCCCCAAAGAAGAGGGAGTCAAGCTCTTCTCCAAAGCACCTGAGGGCAGGACAAGAAGCAATGGATGGAAACTAATCAAGGAGAGAAGCAACTTAGAACTAAGGAGAAATTTCCTGACAGTTAAAACAATTAGTCAGTGGAACTCCTTGCCTCCAGAAGTTGTGAATGCTCCAACACTGGAGGTTTTTAAGAAGAGATTGGAGAGCCATTTGCCTGAACTGGTGTAGGGTTTCCTGCCTAAGCAGGGGGTTGGACTAGAAGACCTCCATGGTCCCTTCCAACTCTGTTATTCTATCTTTTGCTCCTTAGCTGAGATAAGAGGAGAAATTCAATAGATGAATAATATATAAAGAATGCAACTATGGTTAGTGGATTAACCTGTTGGGTAAGCCCAGTGGATTACAATGAATTCCATAAACCACAATTCAAGGAGCTCAAACCTGATCTGTGGGTTTTTGTTCTGCCACGCAGGAAGGGCACGAGGGCACGATCCGAAGCCTGCTTTCCTTGGGGGCTTCCTTGCACGCGAAGGACAAGAAGCATCGGACTGGTAAGGGCTGCCCACTCTGTCCCCACAGCATCCCACACAGGTCCTGAAATATCAAGGAGCAATCTCCTAATGATTGGCCCAATATCACCTAGCCAGGTTTCATGCCTAAGGCGGGACTAGAACTCCCTGTCTCCTGGTGATTGCTCCAAAGTCACCTAGCCAGCTTTCATGCCTAAGGCGGGACTAGAACTCCCTGTCTCCTGGTGATTTCTCCAATGTCACCTAGCCAGCTTTCATGCCTAAGGCGGGACTAGAACTCCCTGTCTCCTGGTGATTTCTCCAGTGTCACCTAGCCAGCTTTCGTGCCTAAGGCGGGACTAGAACTCCCTGCTCCTGGTGATTGCTCCAAAGTCACCTAGCCAGCTTTCATGCCTAAGGCGGGACTAGAACTCCCTGTCTCCTGGTGATTTCTCCAGTGTCACCTAGCCAGCTTTCATGCCTAAGGCGGGACTAGAACTCCCTGTCTCTGGTGATTGCTCCAATGTCACCTAGCCAGCTTTCGTGCCTAAGGCGGGACTAGAACTCCCTGTCTCCTGGTGATTGCTCCAATGTCACCTAGCCAGCTTTCGTGCCTAAGGCGGGACTAGAACTCCCTGTCTCCTGGTGATTGCTCCAATGTCACCTAGCCAGCTTTCGTGCCTAAGGCGGGACTAGAACTCCCTGTCTCCTGGTGATTGCTCCAATGTCACCTAGCCAGCTTTCCTGCCTAAGGCGGGACTAGAACTCACTTGTCTCCTGGTGATTGCTCCAATGTCACCTAGCCAGCTTTCATGCCTAACACAGAACTGGAACTCATCGTCTCCTGGTTTCTCGCCTGATGTCTTCCCCACATTTAATAGCGTTTATTACAGCACAATTTCTGACTAAAAGGACTGCGATCAGCATACGTGGGCCTGATTGGGGTAGATTGCAGGGGTGATGCAGAAATATAATTTTACGTCATTTTATTCCGTTTTATATATTTATGTATCAAATTATTGTATTTTGTCCTATAACTATTGTATTTTACCTTACTCTCATTTTAAATTGTTTGTTTAGGATTTTATTGGTAATATGTGTTTGAACCTGTACGTTGATATGGCCTATAGCAGTGTTTCTCAACCTTGGAAGCTTGAAGACGGGTGGACTTCAACTCCCAGAATCCCCCAGCCAGCGCTGCTGGCTGGGGGATTCTGGAAGTTGAAGTCCACCCGTCTTCAAGCTACCAAGGTTGAGAAACACTGGCCTATCAATCGATCAATATAAAAATACTGTATTAATGAAGATGAAATGTTGACTTCGATAACAGCCGGCGGGACCAAAATCGCACGCTTGCGTCCTGCCGTGGGGGCACACAAAACCTTCACCGTCGCTCTGCTTTCTCTGCCCCACAGCGCTGCACATGGCTTCCGCAAGGCAACACACACCATGCGTGCGTTTCCTCCTGCAGGCAGGATTAAAGGATTCTCCAGACGATGCCTGGACGTACGCCAGGCAGCTGGCGAAGAAGACCGACCTTGTCCAACTCTTTGAGGACAACAGACTTTGTGGGAGTGAGCATTAAACAAAAAAAAACCCCCTCGGCATATCTTTCCAACTGTTTCCTGGTATGACTTGCGAGCAAAAAGCTTTCCGGAGGCTCTTTCCCAAAATGCTGTGGTAGGGGGGAGGAGTCTGTTAGTCGATGGGGAATTCTGGGAGTTGAAGTCCACCCATCTGAAAGATTCTAAGGCTGAGAACTTAGCCGGTAGGACATACTGTGCGGGAATCCATGCTTTATTCAGCCCGCCATATTAATAAATCCTGCACAGCATAAGATTTTGGTCACAAAAGCACGAGGATGCTGTGAAGGTCGTAAGTGTGAAAAACGGTCCTAAGTTACTTTTATCAGTGCTGTTGTAATTTTGAATAGCCACTAAACAGACTATTGTAAGTTGAGCACTACCTGTGGCACAAGTGGTATTCACTTACCTTCTGTACTGGTTTGCAAACGCCCCGTCCAGGCATGCGCACGGCCTTCTGCACATGTGCCTTGTTGTAGTTCGCCAGCAGCCCATGGAGCTGGCAACGGAGTCGGACAGTGAGGAGGCTGGGGAGGACAATGGGCCAGTCCGGGAGTCTGGGGAAGGCTCTGCGTCAGAGGCAGAGATGAGGCCAGGGCCATCGGGGAGTGATGCGTGGACTCCAGAGCCTCCAGAGGTGGACAGCAGAGAGGCAGAGGAACAGGAGGAGCCTGTTCCTAGTGGACGCATGAGAAGAGCTGCCAGAAGGCAAGAGCAGCTAAAGCAAAGAGGACGACTCAGGAGTAAGGCCAGGAGATGATTGGCCCCTCCCATAAGGCTTAAAAGAGCAGTAATGGCTCTTGGGCTCTTTGTAGGAAAGCAACGTTGCTACATTTGTTTCTTGTCAGCTTCTCTTGCTTTTGAACTTCGTGGGGCTTTGCCAAGAAAAGCCTTTGGCAGGGTGCCAAAGAAGACAAAGGTTGCTGATAAAGCCGAAGGATTGTTTCTGAAGAACTTGTTTTGGAATTAATTTGGGCTAAGCTGAGAATGAAGTAATTCTCAGATGTTCTAATAAAATATGTTTGTGTAGGACTGATTGTGTCTGGTAATAACTACTTGGGCCTAGGTCACAATACGCCCAGCCTGAAAAACATCCCTAAATAGCACGGAATAGAGCCGGGGCGGGTGGGCAGGCCCAACAGCGATTTCCGCTACCGGTTCAGGTGAGCCGGTCCGAAGCGGCTGAATACCACCTCAGATCTGTGGATACTAGACAACCCGTGATGCATTGGTTCATCCTTTCAGAAAGATTTCCAAGAGGGAAACAAAATGATCACCCACAGGCAAAAGAAGCAGTGAGAGCTGGGGTGATTCCCGACTTCCTGCCATCTTCCCCATCGTCTTTGCATGCGGGAAGCCGGCAGGAAGTGTAGGAAATGACAATCACATGGCTGGCTGGGGAATTCTGGGATTTGAAGTCCCCGTGTCTTAAATTTGCCAAAGTTAGGAAACTCTGATTTTGGAGTAGATCTTTAAACGGTCAGAATCCTGGGCTTTTACGGAGGAATCTGAGAATTTGGACCTCCATTTCTTTGAAATGGGCAGAGATTATTCATTCCCCTTTCTTAAAATGATGGAATGCAAATCTAGCTACAGGTTGTCCTGTACTTCATTTAGTGACCGTTCACTAAATAGTCATTGAATAAAGTGACTATTTTTCACAGTTATGGCCTTTGCAGTATCCCCCCCCCCGTCTTGTGATCAAAAATTTAGACGTTTGGCAATTGGTTCAGATTTATGACGGTTGCAGTGTCCAGAGGTCACGTGATCCCCTTTTGTGACCTTCTGACAAGCAAAGTCAATGGGGGAAGCCAGATTCACTTAACAACTGGGTCACTAACTTAACAACTGCAATGGTTCACTTAACTGTGGCAAGAAAGTTCATAATATGAGGCAAAACTCACTTAACAGTCGTCTCGCTTAGCAGCAGAAATTTTGGGCTCAATTGTGGTTGTAAATAAAGGACTGGGAATCTAGCGAAACTGCGCAGCAGCCAAAAACAGATGCACATTCCATGCTTATCTCCTTCAAGGCTGTATCCCAGGGATACCTACAGTAGTCGAAGGGGAGTGACCTCTACAACCGGGGAAACAAGGTCATAATTGGAGCGTAAATTACGTAGGGTCAGAGCTGGCTTCACTTGGGAACTTGCAGACATGAAGTTCCTAATAAATAACTGGATTTCTTTTGAAGCTTGGCTCAAGACTCATGATTTAATTAGGGCATCCGTCGGAACCCTGACAAGCGTAGGCACCGGAGACAAATTCCTTGTGTGTCTAATCACACTTGGCCAATAAAGAATTCTATATTTCTATAAATATGGGAACGGGTGACTTTGGGCTTCTGCCTCGCTCTTGACCCATTCCACCTCACAGGGTTGTCGTTACGGGAAAAACGGGAGGAGCTCCGAAATATCAAGACAATTGCCTTGTTTAGCATCCATTCGGAGTTACAGTGGTTCCAGTGGTAACTTCGTAGCTCTGGAAAGCTGAAGATCAGAAAAATCAAGATGTCTCACTTAACGACCACATTACATAACAACGGAAAGACCAGTCCCAATTGTGGTCACTAAATGAGGTAGTTCCGTTATTTATTGCATGCCACCTTTCTCACCATTAGGCAAGTCTAGGTGGCTTTACAACAATAAACAGGAAGTCCTCAACTTATGACCATCCATTTAGTGACTGTCCAAAGTTACAATAGCACTGAGAAAAAGGGACTCGGGACTGTTTTTCACACGTATGACCCAGTGGTCGGTTTCAAATTTTTTTACTACTGGTAAAACTTTCAAATACAGATGGATCGTCACTTGGAACACAACACCCCGGATATCACAGTTGTCGAAAACTGAAATGTACCAATTTATTGACATTGTGGTACCAGGAGATGCCAGAGTCGAAGAAAAAGAACTGGAAAAAATCATGAAATATCACGACCTGGCCATCGAAACTACACGGCTATGGATGAAACATGTCACCGTGATACCCATTGTCATTGGGGCACTTGGTACCATGTCCAAGAATTTTATAAGATACATCAGCAAATTGCAGCTTCCTGCAATAACACCAGCGGAAATGCAAAAAACTGCGCTACTCAGAATATTGTATCTTTTAAGAAGGTACTTGGTTGATACCTAGGACACTGGCAGCATCCTGTATCAACCATTAGCACCAGTCTTTGGTATTTGTGATGCATTTTGGAATGTTCAGTTGACTGAGTTTCACATTTAATGAATAATAATAATAATAATAATAATAATAATAATAATAATAATAATAATTACATCCTCCGACGATACCTTAACAGTTCCTAGGTCCTTGGTTAGGACTCGAGCTGCTGAGCTATTAACCAGCCTCAAAGGCTGTGAATCTCACTAAAGATTAACTAATAATAATAATAATAATATATTTGGTTGATACCTAGGACGCTGGCAGCAGCCCGTATCAACCATTAGCACCAGTCAATGGTATTTGTGATGCATTTTTGAATGTTCAGTCGACTGAGTTTCATATTTAATGAATAATAATAATAATAATAATAATAATAATAATAATAATAATAATAATACTTAAAAAAAATTGGTTGATACCTTGGACACTGGCAGCAACCTGTATCAACCATTAGTACCAGTCAATGGTATTTGTGATGCATTTTTGAATGTTCAGTCGACTGAGTTTCATATTTAATTAATTAATAATAATAATAATAATAATAATAATAATAATAATAATAATAATAATAATAATAATAATAAAAATTTGGTTGATACCTTGGACGCTGGCAGCAATCCGTATCAACCATTAGCACCACTCAATGGCATTTGTGATGCATTTTTAAATGATCAGTTGACTTGCGTTTCATGTTTAATGAATAAAGTAAATAATAATTATATAACAATAATGATAATTGGATATCAACTCCCAGAATTCCGGCCCAGGCTGGAGGATTCTGGGAGCCGAAGCCCATCCCTCTTTAAAGCAGCCCAAGTTTCAAAAACACAGATTTAAAAGTTTATCAGCCAAACTATAATCCTAGCTTGGCAGGGAGGGAGTCACGTGCGCACCACCCGGAAGCAGGGCAGCGGCTTCACCCTCGCGAGCGCGCATGCTCTTTCCCCTCCCCCTCCCTCCCCCCCCCCACATGCCCGGCGGCACCTGCGTGGCATCGAGCTTTTCCTCGCCTCGTCCGGCCGAGGGCGCGGGCAGCCAATCCCGGCCGGAGGGCGGGGTCACGAGGTGGGGGTGGGAATAAAGGAACGCCCCGCCTCCCTCCTCCTCCTCCTTCTTCTTCCCCCCCCCGGCGTTGATTGACACCTCGCGGCAGCCCAATAACGGCCGCCGGCCGGGCAGCGCCCCCTTGGCGACGATGGCGGGGATTGGGGCGCCGTCCAGCTCCTCCCCCTCGGGTGGCGGCCGAGGCCCCGCCCAGCCCCCCAAAGGCCCCGCCCCTCTGGCGCGCTCTTCTCCCGGCGGCGGCGGCGGCAGGAGCAGCGTCGCCTCCATTTTCTCCTCAGCCGCCGCTTCTTCTTCGTCGTCTTCCTCCTCAGGCGCCGGCAGTTACGGCCGCCGAGGCCCCGAACCGCCGCCCCGGCCCCGCCGCCCGAGCCCCTCCGCCGCCCCCGCCCGAGGGAGGCCTCCCAGCGCCGCGCCGCCCCCACCCGGCCTCGCCCGCCGCCCGCTCGCCTCAGCCGTCACCGCCGCCATGAATGAGGAGTACGACGTGATCGTGCTGGGCACCGGCCTGACGGTGAGCGGACGCGGCCGGGGCGCCTGGGATTGAGGGAGGGCTAGAAAGCCCGTTGGGAGGCTCGTCACGTGGGAAAGGGGTACAAGACACGTGTATCTTGCGGGAAGCGTGTAACACGAAGGGAAAGAAGCCGGGCTCGGAGGGCCTCCCCCCCCTCCGCCGTTATTCGGGGATTATTTTAGGATTGGCTTTTATTTTGTAGCCGGGGGGGGGGGGGGCCGGGGCCGTCTGAATGGGTGGAACTGGAGGGGGGGGGAGGGGAAGGGAATTATGACACGTGTCGTTGGAGGGAAGGGAAAAAAAAAGACGCGTGGAACGTGAGGAGGGAAAAGACGCGTGGAAGTTCCAAGGAAGGGAAAGACGCGTGTGTCTTGCGGGGAGGCAAAGGACACGTGTAGCATGAGGGATGGGAGGCTGGGCTGGGCGGCCTCCTTTTTCCCCCTTTTGGTTGAGAACCTGCCGTTATTTGGGGATTATTATTATTTTTTTATTAGGATTAGCTTTTACCTTGTAGCCAGGGGGCCTGGAGTCGTCTGAATGGGTGGAACTGGAGGGGGGGAAAGGGAATTATGGAAAAAGAATTATTTTTAATTCTTATACACATATTGTAAATGTACATTCTCTTATCCATAACTGATATATATATAATGAGACTGAGACTTCGTCGAAACGTCGCCAAGACACTTCCAAACACCAGTGAAAACCTCAGAAAACATATATATATATATTTCATAACTTGATATATATGTGTGTGTGTATGTGTATATATACACATATATACACACATCTATGTGTGTATATATACATACACACACGTATATATATATTTTTCTAATGAAAGCATAAAAATAAGACATTTTAATTACATTTGGGGTTGCTCTTCTACCCTCTCTTTTCACGGGGAAAGGGAATTATGACACGTGTCATTGGAGGGAAGGGAAAAGATGCATGGAATGTGAGAAGGCAAAGACACGCATAGCTTCAGGAAAGGGAAAGACATAACTTCAAGGAAGGGAAAGACACGTGTATGTTGTGGGAAGGGAAAGACACGTGTATCTTGGAAGGCAAAGACACACCTAGCATGGGCTCGGTACCCCCTCTTTCCCCCCTCTTTTGCTTGAGACCTGCCGTTACTTGGGGATTATTATTATTATTTTTTTATTATTAGTATTAGCTTTTACATTGTAGCAACGGGGCTGGGAGTCGTCTGAATGGGTGGGACTGGAGGAATGACCCGTGTAGCTGGAGGGAAGGCAAAGACACAGACACGTGTAACATGAGGGATGGAGGCTGGGCTGGGCTTGGGGGGCCTCCCTCCTCCCTTCCTTTTCTGTTTGCTGTGTCCTGCCATTATTTGGGGATTGTTTTTATTTTAGGATTAGATTTTATATTGTAGCATGGAGGCTGGGAGTCGTCAGAATGCATGTAACTCGAGGGAAAGGAATGACAGGTGTAGCTGGAAGGGAGGCAAAGACAGGTGTAACTTGTGGGAAGGGAAAGATTCGTGTAACATGAGGGATAGAGGCCTCCCCCCTCCTCCTCTTTCCTTTTTGCTGAGACCTGCCATTGTTTTGGGATTGTTTTATTAGGATTAGCTTTTATATTAAATCAGTGGGGCTGGGAGTTGTCTGAATAGGTGGAACTGGAGAGGGGAAAGCAGCTGGCCTTTGGTGCCCTCCCCCCTCCTGCACATCCTCTTCTTTTCTTTTTGAAACCTGCCATTATTTCAGGTTTATTTTATTTTCATTACTTTTTATTATATCAGTGGGGCAGGGAGTCATCTGAATGGCTTCTCATGCCCCCCTCAAAGATAGTTTGAATGAGGGCGGTTGGGGTGGGCTTGGTATCCCCCCCTTCCTCTGTTTCCTCTCCCCCTATTGAGACCCACCTTTATGTGGGGATGATTATTAGCCTTTAATAATAATAACAGCAACAACAACAACAACAACAACAACAACAACAACAACAATAATAATAATAATAATAATAATAATAATAATAATAATAATAATAATTTTATTTCTATACCGCCCTTCTCCCGAAGGACTCAGGGCGGTGTACAGCCGATTAAAACACAAAAATATACGGATATCAATTAAAAAAAATAAAGTTATTAAATAATTTTGGCCTGAATTAAAACCCAAAAATTTAAAATACCCAATTTAAAATCATTTACTTTCTATGAATGATTAATTATTATATATTATTTAGCATTCTTTTCGGACCCTTTTGTCTTCTCCACCCCCTCCTGTTTAATCTTCCTCGTGCTTTTTTTTTTTCTCCCCCCCCAATGTTTTAATAATTCAAATGGCTGTCTTCCCCCCTGTCCCACCTGCAGAGTTGGGTTCACACAGCCCCCTGACCCAGGTCTTCTGGGAACACGTGATTGGCTCAGCCTGCCCTCCTCCCCTCAAAGTTTCTGAAGCCAAGAAAGCTGGGTTTCTTTTAACCCCTCTGGGCATCCAGCCTTCCTCCCCATGGATGGAGCCCCTGCTTGGCTGTTGCTCCATTATCCACCTTGGATATTCTGCCCCATAATCCTTGGCTGGCTGCCTCGGCAAGGTGGGACCCTGGCGAGCTCCAAATGCCATTCCGCAGCACACTGCTCCTGGCCATGGAGGCTCCGACCTCAGTGACACTTTGGAAGTTGCCCCATCCCTTTTCCCGCCAGACTTTTCTCCTCCTGTGGCGTCAAGGAAGACATCCCAGGAGATTATATTGTACATTTTATATATTGTATATTACACATAGTCCTTGACTTGCAGCCACCAATGTGCCTAAATTTCCCTTGCTAAGCAAGACAGTTAAATGAGTTTTGCCCCATTTTGTGACCTTCCTGGCCACCGTTGTTAAGTGAATCACTGCAGTTGAGTTAGTCAACTTTACGGTTGTAAAGTGAATTTGTCTTCCCCACTGCTGCAATCAGAAGATTGCAAAAGGGGATCACATGGCCCGGGACACTGCAACTGTCATGAATCGGCTGCCAAGTGTCCAAATTTTGGTCACGTGACCACGGGGATGCTGCACCGATCATGGGAAAAACGGCCTTAAGTCACTTTTTTCAGGGCCGTCGTAACTTCAAACGGCCACTAAAGGAATGGTTGCAAGCCGAGGATTTAATTTTTTTGCCCTTGAATCACCCCTTGCCCTTCAGCTTCTTCCCTGCTTTCTCTTTTTCTTCTAGAGGGCATCTCGCAAATAGATTTTGCTTGGCAGCCCAAAGATTTGGCCTGCCCTCTTTGAAGTGTTCCTTTTGCACCAAGAGGCACTCTACCGTTCTCTGGAGCTCCTGGGCTTTGCCAGGCCTGGGTGTGTGTGTGAGAAATGGGGGACTTCAGAGCCTTGACTTCATTCTGCAGCTACTATTTTTCCCACTGAAATCAATGAGCCAGGGAAACATCATCAGTTCATAGCCTAGATGAGGATTGAGCAGAGCTAAATTCATTTATCTTCCTATGTTTATGTTTATATTAGCGGTGGAGACCCTTGGACAGCTGTATGCAGCGTAATTTCATTTTAATGTATGCCGATTAATGTACATTCAAGGTGACAATAAAGCTATTCCTATTCCTATTTTTGTTCTATTCCAGTTCCTATTTGTCCTGTCCTGTCCTGTCCTGTCCTGTCCTATCCTATCCTAAATTCACTCTAACCAAGCCTCAAAGGCCAGTCCTTTGTCTGAGCTCTCCTACATTGTAAGGTTGTTGTTCTTTGTGGCTGGGTCTACCCTTTCTGTACCTTTTCTCTGTTTTTCTCCCCCATCTAGAATGTTGACTTTGTATTTTTTTTCTATGGAGGAAATAACTTCATAACTATCAAACTGACATAATGGTAGCATAATTTACATTACTCTACAATTGTGACCTCTGGAAATGTCTTAAGTAGCTTTTTTTTTTTTTTTTTTTTTTTTTTTGGGCATCTTCAGCTTCTCATTGCAGGTTTTCCTGCCTCCAAACCAGGTCTCCTCCGGTTTCCTGGTGCTTTCTTGACCCTTCTCTCCTTCATGGCAGGTGGTCCTTGATGTATGACCACAATAGAGCCTCAAATTTCTGTTGCTAAGCAAGGCAGTAGAGTTGCATCCCATTTATTTTTGCCACAGTTGTTTAGTGAATCACTGCGGTTGTTAAGCACACCTGGCTTCCCCCATTGACTTTGCTTATCAGAAGCCAGCTGGGAAGATTACAAATAGCGACCACATGACCCCAAGATGGTGCAACTGTCATAAGTACATGCCAGTTGCCAAGCGGCTGGATTTTGATCACGTGACCATGGCATGCTGCCAACAGTCATAAGGGTGAAAACCGGTCATAAGTCACTTTTTTCAGGCCCATTTTAACTTCAAATGGTCACTAAACAAATGCTTGTTAAGTGGAGGACTACCAGTATTCTTTCTGCTGTCCTTTGAAACATCTCTCCCCCCCCCAACCCCAGCATCAAAATTGTCTCCCTTGACTATTATTGTCTGTCTTCTGACATTAAATGAGGGTTTACAGCAGGGACGTCCGATCTTGGTGACTTTAAGGCCTGTGGACTTCAACTCCCAGAATTCTTAAATGAGGGTTTAAAGCAGGGATCCCCAAACTTGGCAGCTTTAAGGCTTGTGGACTTCAACTCCCAGAATTCTCTAGCCATAGCATGGCATAGCTTAGCCGGAGAATTCTGGGAGTTGAAGTCCACAAGTCCTAAAGCTGCCAAGTTTGAAGACCTCTGGTTTAAAGGCTGGCTGGGGAATTCTGGGAGTTGAAATCCACAGGTCTTAAAAGTCCCCAAGATCGGACGTCCCTGCTCTAGGTTCTCTCCAACATGTCAGAATCCTAGGCAGCTTAATCGGCATACCGATTTAGGCCCTCTAAACTTGAGTAATTCTGGGAGTTGAAGTCCACAGGTCTTTAAAGTGGCCAAGGTTGGAACACCCCTGGTTTATAGTGTCAGTCTTAAGTTTGGCAAAAGAATCACTTGCCTAACTTGAAACATGTAGTTCACTTCGCTTTGTAGTTGAA